CGGGCATTACCTGCGACCTCACTGAGCTTCTAAGGGTACCCGCCGAGGATCCCGCACGTACGTAATGCCATAAAGGCAAAAGGAAAAGATTACCTTGAAATTCGAGGCACGTTTCACGCGTTGTAGTGATAAGAAGTTTTCTCTCTCCAGTGGGACACCAGCAGGTGTGTATAAGAAATTATATTAAAGCGTGTAGGAATTTGATGGCGCTAAGACGTTTTGTGGGCCCGCGCTCGTGGAGACCAGGGTCATTGAAAGGTTCCGGATTAAAGATAACCATTATTTCAATCATACCAAGATTTATCAAAAGCCCTCAAAGTGGAAGACGGCATTAACATTATTACGTCTATGTACATTAAGATCACGTAACTTGACAGTCAATTGTTCTCAACTTATTTTCAATTATTTATTTTCCTTAACTCTCGCTTGATGATGGTAATATATATTAGCTCAATGGTTAACAGTTCCTCTATATTCAGTTCCAGATGTAGTTTGAGATATAGTTCCTAGTTAAGTATTAAGTTTCAAAATTTTGTAGGACGCTATGAACTCTACAACCACCCACCACCCACCCTTCAAACAGTAACGCCTGATCGCTTCGTGGTGAAAATAGACAGGGTGGTGGTATCAACACGCGCTCGCTCGCAATACGTCCCACAACGAATAATTACTGCACAATATTATTGCTTCATCGAGGAAGCTATTCATGAACTTCTCATCATCATTTTCCTGCCCTTCTCCCGGTCACCTGATATATCCGCAACATGTGTTCTACTCCAGTTCCATACTCCTCTATCATATACAATTTCCTCACTCACTCCCCTCTTACCCATATCGTCTTTCATGCAATCCATCCATTTCTTCTTAGGTCGACCTCTTCCTCTAAAGCCTTTTACAAAGTTAAAACTCTTACCAACCTCATTGTCATTTCGTCTCATCACATGTCCATATAATCCCAAACGCGCACTTCTCAACTTCTCTGTCATAGGTACCACTTTCATACTTCCTCTAACTTACCATTATTCATGAACTTATGTCATTAAGAAAAGGATACCTGTCAGCGGAATTTTAAGACCCGAAGACCCGAATCACTGCATAAGAGTATACGACATCCAATTCGACCTACTTGCCTTAAGACCACTTTTTGAATCTCATTAATACTTTACCGTGTTCAATCCTTCAATACCCTTCAGTACCGTATATCCATACCCTATAGAACAGATTCCGGTGACGACAGCATTAATAAATTTATCGCCCCGCTTATTGAACTTGATTACAGAGTGCATGCACATTGGAAGTATAAATGGGACGTTTGAAGCAATTGCAACTCAGTTCATTGTCGTCTGGCATTCAATTTCAATGCATTGCATATTCTGGTTAATGTGATGTGATTTGATGCAAAACATTCAAATGTTGCAACCGTCACAGCTTAATTTTCCCCATTGATGCCTTAGTCGCTGATCTTCGTATTTGTATTGATGCAGTCAGAACCTGCCTAAATATCTTGAGTTGAAGTTATGGCTTAAATAGAGGACGACACTTGCTTGGAGCCGCTTGATTTTATAGCTCAACTCCTGTATAATTGCCTACATACGCGTATATATCGTCAGACAAATAGTAATAGTAAAAAAAAATTTTTTTTAACTAATTAGATGGGCTTACTAGCTCACAGTCCACCTGGTGTTAGGTGGTTACTGGAGCCTATAGACATCTACAACGTAAATGCGCCACCCACCTTGAGATATAAGTTCTAAGGTCTCAGTATAGTTACAACGGCTGCTCCGCCCTTCAAACCGGAACGCATTACTGCTTCACGACTGAAATAGGCGGGGTGGTGGTATCTACCCGCGCAAATTCACAAGAGGTCCTACCACCATTAATATATCAGTAATCGCCTTTAGTCAAACCACTAAGCAGTCTCAATCGTTGGTAGACCGATTACTAAATAGACTCGATTTACTGTCGAATCATTATCCCGAGTTTTTTCCACGGAAGCGTCAACATTAACGGAAACTTTAGTCCGAGCGTCAAATTTCAGAATAGAAATTATTTCTCAGAATTAATTAAGGATAATTCCATTTAGATTAATGGAAACGTTTCTAAGTATCGTTCCAAACGGTTCTTTGTCTTCGTAACATTTTATCATTTGTTTCTGTTTGTTTAGATCTGCTTTTAGATGTCTGTCGCCTTCTGTTCTGTATTAAGCAGCGGTTGATTGTAAAGGGTAATTTTTCTTTGTCCATGCGCCTCCAAAAGATCGATTTAATGATGCGACTGAAATTTCAACCATTGGCGTTCGAGAAAGAGGTGCATATCTCTTTTCATTACTAAATGATAGTTTGGAAAATTCAATTAATAAATTGTTTTAATGTTCGGTGTTCTAGTATAAATATGTACTAGATGATGACCGAGCTTTACTCGGTTTTTTTTTGATAACGCCATCTTGGTTAGTTGCCCTCAATTAAGAAAAATAGTATTATTATTCGCCAATAGATGTCGGGAAGAGTTGATTATTGAAAACACGAATAAAACAACATTTTCTGAAAATAAATCGTAGCTAGATCGATTTATCGCCATGCTCGTTTAAAGGTATAAGATCATCCACTTTTCGTATCCAATTCTATTAGGTATTAATTACTGTTATTTAACGGGGTTTTTACTGCGACTTTTTGTTTTAATTAGTTTCCGATATTGCAGCTCTGTTGTAAGCGCCACGATTCTGACAACCTGGTTATTACTTAACAACAGGCTATTGCTGATATATCGTAAGGGTGGATAACTCAAACTTGCTTATTTCTGTCTCAAAGAAATCACGAGTTCTGGCTTGGAGCGTGGGACAGTCGTTATAAAGTAGAAATGAGACGTACATCTACCTTTCTTTTGTTCTGGCAAGCTTAATGCGATTTTCACTAGATGGTCTTCGTCCCGTATCATGAGACGTACCTAAATTAAAAAAATCTTACTGCAACCTTAAAGAGCATCTTCACTTTAGATCGTAAGGGTGGATAGCTCAAACTTGCATATTTCTGTCCCAAAATCATAAGTTCTGGCTTGCAGCGTGGGACAGTCGTCAAAAAATAGAAATTAGATATAAATTTAAAAATATTCTTACGGCAACCTTAAATATCAAACATTTTCTGGCAACAATAATTTTAAATCTAAAAAAAATTATCCAATAAGATCGAATACGTTGACTATAACGACAATACCCGGACGCCATGTTGGATTGACAACTTAATTTGCACGTAACGAGTGAGCTTATCAAAACATCAATCATTCTCTATTATATCTTTGTAAAAACCTTTCTTTATTCATCCGGCTGTTTGTAGAGTCATTTCGGGGTGGAATTTCACGGTTACGCATGAAAAAGTATTTGGGTTATGCGGTAATAATGTACCTAGCTAGTATTTTTTTAATGAACTCGCTTGATACTCTTCATAATTATAATTAACTGATACAGGTCTTCTTTTTGTCAAAAAGTAATGTAGATTAATTAGTAACGTAGATAAATTTTGTAGGCAGCGGCTTGGCTCTGCCCCTGGCATTGCTGAAAGGAATAACATCCTGCAATTAAAATCAAACCCGCAAAATTATATTTGCGTAATTACTGGTGGTAGGACCTCTTGTGAGTCCGCACGAGTAGGTACCAGCACTCTGCCTATTTCTGCCGTGAAGCAGTAATGCGTTTCGGTTTGAAGGGTAGTTTTTACGGTAGGCAGCGGCCTGGCCCTGCCCCTGGCATTGCTGACGTCCATGAGCGATGGTAACCACTCACCATCAGGTGGGCCGTATGCTCGTCTGCCTATACGGCAATAATAAAAAAAAGAGATATATAGTGACAACTACGATAAGAAGACTTTTTTTTTATTGCTTAGATGGGTGGACGAGCTCACAGCCCACCTGATGTTAAGTGGTTACTGGAGCACATAGACATCCACAACGTAAATGCGCCACCCACCTTGAAATATAAGTTCTAAGGTCTCAAGTTTAGTTACAACGGCTGCCCCGCCCTTCAAACCGAAACGCATTACTGCTTCACGGCAGAAATAGGTAGGGTGGTGGTACCCACCCGCGTGGACTCACAAGAGGTCCTACCACCAGTGATTACGCAAATTATAATTTTGCGGGTTTTCATTTTTATTACACGATGCTATTCCTTCACCGTGGAAGTCAATCGTGAACATTTGTTTAGTACGTATTTCATTAGAAAAATTGGTACCAGCCTGGGATTCGAACACCGGTGCATCGCGCTCAACACGAATGCACCGAACGTCTTATCCGTTAGGCCACGACGACTTCAAATCGACTTTCTGTTGATCCAAAGATTTTTCAGTAGACCGACAGCCTTTTTTTCCGGAATCCACTACTTTTACTAGAGCATTTGCAGAGTTACATGGAAATTATCGTTGGCCTGATTCAGAATTTGCTGGATTGCTTCTGATACGATAGCTAACGCGACCCACATTGTGTTTTAAGTTTTTTATTTTTTATTACGCAACACGCTTTACGCAATGGTGAGGAACCAAAATCTAATCGTGAACTTCTTCTGTTACAGATTTAGATTGGATTTAATCTAATTATTTTTTGTTTAAATTATTATTAGAAAATAACAGACAGCCTCAAATAATGTGTACAGATAACGATGCGACCACACATAGTCCCAATATAGGATTCTCTCGTGTAACTTATACAGATTAAAATATGATAAAAAAAAATGTACAATAAAAACAATAAACTCAGCCAGATGTAATCGATTAAACGGAAGCGTGCAAGCTTTTGATTTTAAAATAATAAATCCGCAAACACGTTTTAGGCGCATAGTTACTAGATGCTAGATAGAAAAAGATGTCCGCGGAAATACGATGTATGACTTACTTATTAGACCATTATTAGCATGTTAACTTATATGATTTATAAAATAAAACTGTTTATTTGATTATGTAAGTCAGCGAACATATTAATAAAAAACCGCTACTAATATTAATATTTCTTTGTTACAGAATCGAATGCCGGGTCCTTAACGGGAGTGGGTGCTAGTGATGTGTAAAGTGCGTATCGATAAAATTTGGAGGTAATGATGCGCCTACCGACAATGCTGTCACAGGCGCGCTTCATATCCTTCGTACTGCTCAGTATACTGCTGCAGTACTGCGTGAAGAGTCAACAAGAGATCCTCATTGAGGAATCAGGTGAGGAAGATTTTTTTGCAATTTTGGTGTTAATTGAAAAAAATTAAAACTTTTTCGTTTGTAATAAAAAGTTTTGTAACGCAAGTCCAAATTAAGCTCTCGATAGGTTACGAAACTTTAAAATATATTTTATTGTTTGCAACTATTTGGCTCTCGTTCAAGATTTAATACATATAAGCGTTTGAATTTATCCAAAATATGAAGTTAAAGGTATTTGTTTCCACGCAACATCCAAATTTCGTTAGGCAGCGGCTTGGCTCTGCCCCTGGCATTGCTGAAGTCCATGGGCGGCGGTAACCACTCACCATCAGGTGGGCCGTATGCTCGTCTGCCTACAAGGGCAATAAAAAAAAATAAAAAAAACAAAAAAAATCCAAAATTGGGAATTTGATAAAACGCATTAAGTAAATTCTGGTGTCGTTCCCGTCCATGTTTTCGTAACATTTACCAATTTACAATATAATTAATCAAGTTCAGTTCACTCTGTACTGAAGAGGTGATGAAAAAAGGCGTTTAAACCTTTATTCCCGAAGAAAACCTCGATAATTGCCACAGTGACCCCTTACAATTCGCACCGGCCTTTTTCAAACTTCATAAAATTAACAATGGAAACTTAATTAAACCGCAGAAAAATGACTTTGAAATTCAATTCAATCTGCGCTTTGTATCTGGCAATGGCGTGGCCTCGAAAATTGGCCTTAGGCCAGAGGCTGGTTTAATTGCTGTGGAATTCTGAAAGGGTTTTCGTCACCGGATTGCTTTGACGTTTTAAAAAATTAATCATGAATTGGTGGGTACATTTTTGTATTTAAATCACTCAAATATATCTTTGATAACATGAAAGTAAAACAGAGTTGTCTTCGTGTACCGAAAATTCAAATGTAATTGTAAAAAGTTTAGAATACCGCTTGTCTACTACAAGCGCTTAATACTATGTGTAAATTGGCATTAGTTGAAACCTTTGGATTCACGCCAAAGCTTGCTGTTTCAAAATGCCAGATTACACATTAAATATCGTTCCATCGCATTCATGGACCACAGTTTAGACTTTAAAAATAATTTATTTAGCTCCATTTATTATAAATGGCTGGATTTTGAAAGTAAAATAGCAAATAACAATTTTGGTCAAATTATTTACTTTGTTATTTTTACTGTACTAGTTATAGACGTATTATTGATTTAACCTATGGATTTCGGACCCCATTATTGACATGATGTGAATATCCCACCCACCTTTCCTAATAAATTTCAATTCTCAATTGTATCGTAATCTGACGTGACTGCAGCCTGCAAACTGAAAGGCGTAAACACTTTGCGGTATAAATAGGCGAAGAAGATAATAAAACAGAGAATGCTAATTAAGAGGGACAGAAAACCGGGAAGATAAAAATTGAGTACTGCAAGTATGCCGTATCTTCTGGTTAACATCTGAATAGACTATAATCATCAAGTCGTGTGTGGTTACCGTCGCTTATGAGGATCACGAAGCCCAAAGACTCTGCTATAACTTCCTTGTAAACTTTATGAATAGGACATAGGAATGTTAGGAATAAAAACATAACACTCTTAGTTACATAAATTTGCTATTAAACAAAAATGCTATATCACTAAATAAAAAGCACTGTTTGTTTTAAATTATCAAAAATCTTGCCAATTACCCACATATATATTTTATTTAATGTGGCCACGTTTTTATCGAATCACTTTTAGCCAAATTTTTCCAAAAAGACTTGACGAACCCGTCGAGTATTAAAATTTAATTTGACTGAATGTCAATAACGCTATATTTGCCGCATGTAATATTTGCTTCAATGTGCAAAAGAGTGAACTCATAGGGGTAGCAAAAGAGTGAACTCATAGGGATCTCTTCTTAGTCGAATACTTCATAGCTGAAGGTCGTGTCCCTGAAAGCCCTTCGTGGCTCTTTGTACCATCAGCTTCCATTTGCTTCGGTTTTTGGCTTCTCTCAGGGCGTTCGCAACAGAGAGTCCAGTGAGCGCAGTTATCTGATCCGACCAACGGTTTGGTGAGGTAATATAAAAGACTACAAAAATATCAGCACCGTCTGTCATTCTCGAATGATACGCAAAAAATTGGGTCGCTCCTACTGAATCGTTCACCATGCCACTGAGCAGTGCTCCACTGTTTACCCTTAGGAAACAGAAAGCGAGACTGGCGCTTGTTTATATTGTTCACAGACCGAGTGGTTGAAGATGAATAAAGTCTTATTGCGTTTCTGGCAAGAACTTATCAATTTCATTCGACTGCAGTGACCGTATCTTTGCCTGTTTCGTTACAGCCTAACCCTCTATTTTACCTACCGGTCTAAGGGCGTGACGAAATCCTCAATAAATAATTGGCTCCATACTACTGCCTATTTCTGCCGCAGGGCAATTATGTGGTCCGGTTTCTAAGTTGGGATAATAACAACAAAAATTGCACTAAACTAATTGGAACTTCAATCTTCAGTCGAGTTTGAATTTGAATTTGAGTCCCTTTTTTATTTTTTTATGCCCTTGTAGGCAGACGAGCATACGGCCCACCTGATGGTGAGTGGTTACCGTCACCCATGGACTTCAGCAATGCCAGGGGCAGAGCCAAGCCGCTGCCTACCGATGGCGTCAATGGCGTCGTATCAATCGTTTTGTTTTTCATTTTATTGATCAATTAAGTAAAGGAGCTCACAGCTCTTCTTGTGTTCCATAGTGACCAGAGATCACCACCCATCAGCAGCCATCCATCTTGGGACATAAAGTCAAGAACTCGATTGCGTAGTATATCTGTATAACCCATTTTTTGAACCAGAACGTATTGCCGTTTCGCGGAAGAAATAGAGGAGTGGTAGGACTTAGTCGTAAGGGCTTACAAAATACCCTTTTACTAGTAATAAAGCAAAGTTTGGCGGTTAGTTTCCCTGTTTTACTTAGGTATAAAAAATGAAATCGTCCGGGCTCGTGTTCGTAGCGTTATGAATATCTCGTTAACATGTGTCGTATGGTACGGTATTGTTGTAGCAATGGGCTTCGGTAGCAACACAACATCGCGTCTCTAAGTTTGCTCCGTTCAAAAGCTCGGAATGGGCTTTTATCTCTAGTGAAACTATAAACTGTCTCGCTAAACCTATTAACAGTTAGAACTTTACGTTTTCTTTCCAAAGAATAAAAAAGCGTTAGAAAAATGTCGACTTTATAACTTCCAAGTTCGAGTCAACTGATTAAAGTTTCACTTTTGATCCTGAACGGAGCTTTTTCATTAAAAGCTCGAGTGGTAAAAGTTTAATTACTTAATGGAAGCGTCTATGTGATAACGGCTTAGATAACTAAAGGTTCAGATCGAAATCTTGTTAGATCTTTAAAGATTTTTAAAGATATAATTTTACTACTTGCTAATTGCTTCAAATTCTTATTGTCTATACATAAATATACATAATATATCTCGGCATTACATGCATAAGATCCTATGTTTTGATAACCCACTGACTTTCTCGCCGGATCTTCACAGTGGTTCGCGATTCCAATCCGGTGGTAGATGTTACGAAGCACTGCTCTTGTTAGGGCTAGTGTTAGCTAATTCGCTCAAGTTGAGCTCGTGAGCTCACCTACCCATACGCGCGTAGCTGGAATACCACCTTAGAAAACATATCCTTTTTTTATGGCTAAGGTGGTTGAATGAGCCCATCTGGTATTACGGATTACCGGAGCCAATATAACCCCACCCAATTTGAGACATGAATTGTATATCCTAGTTCTATATTGCGTCGCCCTCCAAATGGGAAAGCATTACTGATTCGCGGTAGGAATAGGTAGGCTTAGACAGATAGGCCCCTGGGTAGCAATAACTATTGTAGCGGTCATAGATTTTCCGCACTTAAAATTGCTATTAATGTTTTTAGATTTGAGATTTCAGTGAAATTAAACGGAATTAAGCGTATTTTTGAAAAACAAGTTCGCGTGTGGATTCTGTATCAGTAATCGTAAAGTTTTATAGGATATTGGAGTGAGGGAATAATACTCTTGGCCAATTGCAACCGCACGCGTTTCTCACGTGACACACAGCTTGATTCTATTAGTGGAGAAAATTTACTCAATAATACCAATAATGAAATAGAGATACAATATATATTTTTTATTGCTTAAAAAGGTGGACGAGCTCACAGCTCACCTGGTGTGCCCATAGACATCTACAACGTAAAATGCGCCACCCACCATGAGATATAAGTTCTAAGGTCTCAAGTATAGTTACAACGGCTACCCCACCCTTCAAACCGAAACGCATTACTGCTTCACGGCAGAAATAGGCAGGGTGGTGGTGCCTATTCGCGCGGACTCACAAGAGGTCCAGTACCACCAGTAAAGGATCGAGCGTGGCAGATGCGTGAACGCATATTAGTCATAGAATTTTTTGTTTGTATGATACAGAGCTGCAATACCCGAGAGTCTAAATTAGCAAGCGACATCTCTAGGCGTAAAATTATCTTTAAAAATATAAAGTAAGAAAGATAAACAATCGAATAGCAATCCATCACTTATCCACATTAACCGAATGCGGTCAAAATAGAAACTCCCCGGCGACTTTAATAATTCAAACGTTTGATTTATCGAAATACGTACAGGGCAGGGCTGTGCGATGATAAAAAATATATATACGTACATCTCAGGGTTTTCGCGGCTTTATTTAAATATACTTATATATTTTTTTTGGACCGAAATCCCTTATGGGACGATGCGGAGGGGTACCCTAACCGGGAAAAAACGTCCGTAACGTAAGATTATTCCTATTTAGTTTGTTATCAATAGATATTGCTGCACGTAAATTCAATAATTCCTGAAACGCGGTGACGAGATGTTACACAGTTGATAGACGTTCTCGTATTTCTCTTGCTAAATCATACTTACCTGGCGTAGGGAATTCCGTGATCATGCAGGCGGTTCCCCCACGGCGAGGCTACTCCATTGCGGAGTTGTTGACCCTTGCGATTATTTTTATTTTTATCAATAAAAACATCACAATATAAAAATATACCTGAATAATTATTTTCTTTAAACCTCGAATAGAACTTAAAATAAATATTTTTAGAATTGGTAACTTCGTTCCTATCCGATGTCCCACGACACCACACATCTTTTTTTTTTATTTCACTACAGAATTAGAGTAGTTTATGAAGTAGCTACCCGAACCACACAAACCACATCAATTGGCGGCGTCAACATTGAGGTGTTGAGACAAAGTAGAAGCCTCAATTTTATAATATACCGGTTGCCCCAACCTTGAAAATAGAACACATGACAAATACCCATATCAGTGAGAGCAATACCACCATTTGATTTGTTAGAATCACAAACTACCGTACAGTTTCTAAATTCAATTAAAGATCTGAAGCTAGCTTAAGGGGAAAAAAAATTAAGAAGCAATAATAACAGCAGTAGTAGCATAAGTACAGAAAAGGGTCGTTTGGATTATCGATAATCCCATTCTCACGGATCGTTTGGAACCTCTGGGTCTGAGGAGAGACTTCACTTTTCTCTGTATTTTGTACCGTATGTTCCATGGGGAGTGGCCCTGAGGAATTGCTTGAGATGATCCAATCATCTCGTTTTCACCATCGCACCGCCCGCTACCGGAGTAGAGTTCATCCATACTACCTGGAGCCACTGCGTTCATCCACAGTGCGTTTCCAGAGATCTCTTTTGCCACGTACCATCCGGCTATGGAATGAGCTCCCCTCCACGGTGTTTCCCGAGCGCTATGACATGTCCTTCTTCAAACGAGGCTTGTGGAGAGTATTAAGCTGTAGACAGCGGCTTCACTTTGTCCCTGACATTGCTGACGCCCATGTACGACGGTACCAACTCACCATCAGGTGGGCCGTATGCTTGACTGCCTACAGTAAAAATAAGTATTGGTTTGCGAGTTTTATTGACACTAGCGATCCAAGTCACAATCTAATACAAATTAATGTGTAATTGTCAAAAAAAATTTATTGCTTAGATTGGTGGACGAGCTCACAGCCCACCTGGTGTTAAGTGGTTACTCTAGCCCATAGGCATCTACAATGTAAATGCGCTACCCACTTTGAAATATAAGTTCTAAGGTTTCAGTATAGTTACATGGGCTACCCAACCCTTCAAACCGAAACGCATTACTGCTTCACGGCAGAAATAGGCAGAGTGGACCACCACCTAACCGTGCGGACGTGTAAAATGAAAAATGACAAAAAAAATATTTTTTTTTTTTAATGTTAATTTGTGACAACCCTACATTAGCAACGTAAAAATAAATTACAACGTTCCCGTTTTACGTTGTCATAAATCAGGGCATATGATAATCCGCTCCTGATGTGTTATTGCCCGAGACGTATCTTTTATTGTGAGATTAAAACGTTCCGCTGCAAGATATCTGTGCTTTTACACCAAAAATAATTTCAACGTAATTCATAACGATCGTTTGCCTGCCTCTTCGTACACCCAATTTTTTTTTAATTGCCTACATGGGTGCACGAGCTCACAGCCCACCTGGTGTTAAGTGGTTACTGGAGCCCATAGACATCTACGACGTAAATGCGCCACCCACCTTGAGATATAAGTTCTAAGGTCTCTAGTATAGTTACAACGGCTGTCCCACCCTTCAAACCGAAATGCATTACTGCTTCACGGCAGAAAATAGGCAGGGCGTTGGTACCTACCCGCGCGGACTCAAAAGAGGTCCTACCACTAGTAATTACGCAAATTATAATTTTGCCGATTTCATTTTTATTACACGATGTTATTCCTTCACCGTGGAAATCAATCGTGAACATTTGTTGAGTACGTATTTCATTAGAAAAATTGGTACCCGCCTGGGATCCGAACACCGTTGCATCGCTCAACACGAATGCACCGGACGTCTTATCTTTTAGGCCACGACGACTTCAATTCTGTATATACGATAATAATCTAAACACTATTTGTTATTTAACGCAGAGCCCTGACCTGTGTTATAGGTACCAGGGACTTTTTTACTGGTGACTAGGACCTCTTGTGAGTCCACACGGGTAAGTACCAGCACCCTGCCTATTTCTGCCGTGAAGCAGTAATGCGTTTCGGTTTGAAGGGCGGGGCATTCGTTGTTAAAAGTGAGACCTTAGAACTCATGTCTACATACATATATACATAGATAATGAATACCCAGATAAATAACAAACAAACCTGTTCATCACACGAATGTTTGTCCGATGTGAGAATCGAACCTATGACCCTCGGCACAACAGTCAAGGGCGCTAAGTACTACACCACTGAGTCAGTCAGTAATAATATGCAATAATACATAATTAGGAATCGTGTTGAAGTCGCCCAAAACACGTCATTACGGATCCTCCCGATCCATTAACGGTGCTTTTAAGTACCTCAAGCACCGGTCACCGTCCGCGTCGAACCCGTCGCTTGCAACGAAGGGCTCGACGAGTAAATTAACCTGCAGACACAGCCGACTGAGTTTCTCGCCGGATTTTCTCAGTGGGCCGCGTTTCAGATCCGGTAGATTCTGCGAAGCACTGTTCTTGCTAGGGCCAGTGTTAGTAACACTCCGGCTTGAGCCCCTTGAGGTCACCTACATGTTAGGGCGAAGCTGAAATAGCCTCCCAAAGTATCAGAATAGGTAGGAAAAAAAGGAATCGTGATGAATGTTTCAGTACTCTCCTGCTGTTAACACTGACTTACATTTCTTTCCCGAATCTAATATAAAATAATAATAAAAATGGGGAAACGTTAGGAACAAAATAAAAATAACTTAAACTTATTAAGCAGTTACCAAAATGAAACTTCGTCGTCACAATAGTTAATTTGAGTCACTTATAAATAACGATGCGCGTTGAATGTCCCCTCACTAACTTTGAACTATCGAGTGATAATTTTGAATAATGTTGGTATTATAGACACTTACTTCGCATTGAAAATTGGTTTGAACAAGATACATTTATTAGTTTTTATTTATTGAAACAGAGAGAGAAAGAGAGAGAGAATAACAATTTATTGCACACCAAAACACAATTAACATTTAAAAAAACAGTCAACAAGCAGATACATTAGTGCAATAAGCGTCTTATCGCTAAAAGCGGTCTCTTCCACAAATTTTTTTTTTTTAATTGTTTTTTTTTACCCTATAGGCAGACGAACATACGACCCACCTGATGGTGAGTAGCTACCGTCGCCCATGGACGTCAGCAATGCCAGCAGCAGAGCCATGCCGCGGCCTACCGTTTAATACTCAATGATAACGTGATGAGAAATGCTCACAAATGTACACTTTTAACAACGCTCTTTTATTGTTGCTTAGACATTAGTTAGTTGATAGTTACGACGGCTGCCCCACCCTTCAAACTGAAACGCATTACTGCTTCACGGCAGAAATAGGCAGGGCGGTGGTACCTACCCGCGCGGACTCACAAGAGGTCCTACCACCAGTAACCAGTGGCAGCACTGCTGCTTTTTGCCGAGTTCGGAATCACTTCTTCAGTTCCATCAACGGCTGCCCCACCCTTCAAACAGGAACCCATAACTGCTTCGAAATACAGATGTGCTTCGATCATACAGGATTAACCAAACTTTATTCATGATCCAATAAGCTTCCGGCTTATCTAAGCGAATCGAAGGAAAGTTCGTAATAACAAAATAATTCGAAGCAAATTACCCTATAAAATATTAATTTTCTCTGCTATAATGGCTAATGTACATGCATAATTAAATCATTATCAACGTGACCTGATTATCGATTCGAATTAAGCATTTGCATTACCTAATAGAACAATTTTGTTGTTTGGTAATCGTCAACATGGCTTAACAGTTTTTAATTATAGTTTAATAGTGAAGCTAATTTCTTGGGTAAATAATTTACGGCAAGAGAAATCTGGAGTAACGCTTTTACCTTTGAGATGATACCATAATCTCGTTTTTACCACCGCCACCGGAGTAGAGGTCATCTATACTCCCTGGAGCCACTGCGTTCATCCACAGTTCGTTTCCAGAGATCTTTTTTGCCACGTACCACCCGGCTTGGGAATGAGCTCCCCTCCACGGTATTTCCCGAGCGCTATGACATATCCTTCTTCAAACGAGGCTTGTGGAGAGTACTTAACGGTAGGCAGCGCTTGGCTCAGTCCCTGGCATTGCTGAAGTCCTTGGGCGACGGTTATTACATCGATATTACATCTTAGTGTATTCAATTAAAAAAATCAACAATCACTTCATTTCGCTTCATTTCAATTCATTCATAATCATTCATTTAAACACAACATTGGCAACAATGTCATCACAAAAAGCCAATTGCCATACATACTAAAAAAGAAAAAGTTATCTGTGGGACCTAGTCTTAGCTTAATTTTAATTTTCTTCAATATCAAATCACTTAGTTAATACATTTACTATACGTATTCAACAGAGTTGAAAGACGTATCTTCATTAGAAGACAAGTTATTAAATTTATTAACATGATTTTGATGAAGCAGGCTATTACACACTAAACCTGTTCCGAACTTACATATGTTCGAACGTAAGGATCTGCCCTTACCCCGGAACCCTCTGTAAATGAGTAATTCAAAGATCCCTCTGCCGACAGCAGAAATTCCTCTAATGCTCAACGAGATATACAGTTTATAAAAGCCGTGAGCTTGTAGGTCAATTCCGTCTTGTTTGTTTTAGACAGGTGGATGTAATTGGTTATCTACACAAGTACCGGTGGGCTATGAGGTTGGTACTAGTTCTTTTTTTTTATTGCAAAAATGGGTGAACGAGCTCACAGCCCACCTGGGGTTAATTGGGTACTGGAGCCCATAGACATCTAAAACGCAAATGCCGCCTTGAGATATGAGTTCTAAGGTCTCATTTTAGTTACAACGGCTATCCCCCCACCCTTCAAACCGAAACGAATTACTGCTTCACGGCAGAAATAGGCAGGGTAGTGGTACCTACCTGTGCGGACTCATAAGAGGTCCTACCACCAGTAATTACGCAAATTATAATTTTGCGGGCTTTTGATTTTTATTACACGATGTTATTCCTTCACCGTAGAAGTC